CGCTCGCCGGCTTTAAAGTCTTTGCCAGGATCCATGCTCACATGTTACTTCCTGTATGGAGGCATGGCCAGTTTCCAGCCCCGCGCTCCCCGTTCCTCCCCAGCCTGCGCCAGAGCCACAACTTTCAGGAGCATGGACTGAAGGCGCCCTGGCCCCAGCACCCCTCTGAGATCCTTTGTGTTTTTCTCCGTTTCCTCCGGCCGTTTCTATTTCGGAGGGGGCTCTTCGCTTCCCCCGCCTCTCCCCTCCCCTTCCCCGCTCGCAAACATGCCTCCTTCCTTCCCTGGGCCCTGGAAAGAGCTGCCTGCCTGAAGCCCGGAGACGCCGCGCCGCGCTCAGCCCCGCCGCCGCCCGCCGGCTCTAGGGCTGCGCTGCGCTGCCGACTCAAGTTGGGGATCCTCGGCCGCTCTCCGCCGCCGCCTGCGGTCCCTGCCTGCCCCCGGCCCCGGGCATCGCCGCCGCCCTCGGACTCGTCGCCTTTCTCGCTCGGCGTTCTCCTTTTTGAGCGGAAAGCAGTCCTTCTCGACTGAGGATCGTCCCCAGCGTGGCTCTGCGTTCCCGGTCACTTTTTGAGGTTTTTCGGGGACACTCGGCGGCTTCCCGGATTCCAGGGGCGATTGGACCTCTGAGCGCTGGGGGCCCGTAGAACGGTCGAGCAGGGGAAGAGCCCGGGCTTAGCGGAGGCTCACACGGAGGCAAGAACTTATTCAACAAGTTTACCCCCCCTGCCTTTCTCTTTTCGATGTGCGTTTTCGGACATGCGGAGGTTACTGGAACCGTGTTGGTGGATTTTGTTCCTGAAAATCACCAGTTCAGTGCTCCATTATGTCGTGTGCTTCCCCGGTGAGTGCCGGCCGCCGAGGGGACGCGCGGCCCTGGCCAGCGCGCGCGGGGGATGTGGAGTTGTCGCCGGGGCACGAAGCTCGGACGCTGGTCCGAGGGACCCCGGAGAGGGTGGAGGGGGCCGGACGCCCGGGAGGGAAGAGGGATCTGCTCTGCTGGTTTTGGCGGCGGTTAGGGAGGCTCTTGGTTGGGAAGGATGGAAGGAGGGGCTGACCGGGGAAGGGGACAGGGGCCTAAGGGGGTCTGTTGTCGCTCGGGTTTGGTGGGTCTGGGGGACCCGGAGTCGGGAGAAAAGGGGACTTGCTCTGCCGGTACGCCGCCGTTTGGGAGAACTAGACTTCTGGGGCGGTTGGGGATACTGTGACCAAGGGAGGATGCCTCTGTGGGTTTGAGGGGCCCAGGGTGCGCCCCTCGCTCAGGCGGTGATTAAAGGAGCTCAGAATTGGGGACTTGATTTGCTGCTCTCTGACCGTGTGGAGAGGCTAGTTTTCGGCGGAGGGTATCTGGAGGTTGATCGTGGAGGATTGGGGATGTTGGGAGCAGTCTCCGTTCCGGTCTCGGGGGCCAGGGCGATCCCGGGTCCGGGCTGGAGCGCGAGGCTGCGCTTTGGTGCTGATGTGAGGCGGCCATCCCGGGAGCTGGGGCCCGGGTGCGGTAGGAGGGCAGGGAGCAGGCGGTTTAGGGAGATCTGTGGCTTCTCCAGCCCCGGCCCGCGACCCCTATACCCCGAAACTCTGGCCGGCTGGGCTGCTCGGGTCCGGGCGCCGGGGACGCGTCGGCGGCTGGGTTGTTCTTCGCGCCCGGGCGGATTTTTCCGTCTCTGGCGCGCCTGCCTACCTTCATCTCTGCCCTTTCGCAGGCGGTTCGCGGCTGGCAAGACCTATGCTCACTCTTTTCTGGTCAGGTTAAGACAGGGTTAGTATTGGCAATTGATGACCATAATGAGTCACTGCACGTAGCGATGTGCGGCTCGGCGACCCTCTTACTTCAGCCCTACACCGGCTGACCCCGCTTCGTCTGTCCCCTCCTAGGGGGCAGAGGCCAGCCGCCTTTCTCTATCCTTTTGCAGCCCCCCACCCCCACCCCCCGGGCTGCAGCCCCAAGCTCTCGCGAATCCGTCCGGCCCCCTCTGCGGGGGTGGAGGCCACGTCCTTTGCCCTGGCTGGGGAAGGGGTAGGAAGAAGGGGGCGATTCGTTTTTCATCCCTCGATCTCCTAAGACCAGAGAACCCCCCGCTTTTCTGCCTTCTCATTCTTCAGCTCTTGGATACCCGGAGGTGGGTGTTATTTGTACCAAACAAAAAAGGGAACGTGCCCCGATGTTTCTGCTCCCCTTGTTCACAGCCGCCTGTCCCCGGGCGGCCCGAGCGCTCGGTTTTGGTGCAGCGGTTCCCCCAGCTCCGTCGTGCGCCCTAGAACAGGGCGCGGGCATTCTCGCTGCCCTCGGGGATTGGTAGCGAGTGTTCCCTTTGCAGGCGTGGGGGTGGCCTCGAGGGGCAGAGGAAAAACACTGTCTTCGGCACCCTCTTTTCCCTCTGCGCATCCTCCTGCTCCGGGAATCCCTCGGAGCTTCTTCCACAGCCCAGAAACCTAGCTCGATGCCGAGGGAGGACATCGGTCCACACTCACTCGGAGGCCTGGGGTTGTCCCACTAGAGCCCTGCTTTCCTGGGGCTGTAGGCGGTGTGGGCATTTTCTCCTAAAAACGCACTCAATCCCTGAAAAGATCATTGCTCAGTGTTGGTGTCAGTCATCTGCTCTTCCTAGACTTGCTTCTTTGCAGCGGACTTGTCGGCTGAGTGGACTCAGGTGTCCACTGGGGTCGAGCTTTGTTCGGGTTACGCTTTACTGGGGGGCAGCGGGAGGCGGCAGGAGAGCAGCCTTGCGAAACGAGGACTTTCTCATTCCACTCAGGCCTTCTACTTACGCTCGGGCATGCAGTCAGCGGGCTGGCCGTGGTTTTCTTTTTCCTGGCCTGAGGAAGCTTGAAATCCAAAATGGGACCGCCAGTGATGCCGCCTTGGTGGGGCTTGGACAATTTTAGTCTTACATGTTTTCTTTTCGTGGCCACGCTGGGAGGTAAAGAGCGCATTCCCTGGTCCGAGAGCCGAAGGGTGTCAGAAAGGGCAGGGGCAGTGGTGTGGGGCACGAGACAGAGGAGATGTGGTCTGGAAAAGTGCCGCCGGGGGAGGGTGCAGCAGCGCTTGGAACCAGGCAAAGTTAAAATGTCAGAGCCGTGGGAGACGCCGGCTTTCCCTTTTCCGAAGGTGCCGTGACGTCGCTGGACCTCAGGGGGCGCCCTCGAACCGCTCGGCCGGGCTCCTGCCACCTCCACTGGTAGTGCTCGGCTACCTCCGTGCCCCGAGGCCCCGGTGGGAGCCGGGATAGGAGCCGGGATGGGGCCCGCGCAGCCGGGGTCTCAGGCTCGCGGGCTGCGGATGCGCCTCTGCGGAGAAGAGGACCTCAGTTTTGCGTTGCTGCTCCTGGCCCGCTCTAAACCAGGGGGCCAGAGTTCGGTTTGGGATACCCCTTGCCTTCCATAACCCTGGAAGAGTTTATCTGCTTGACACGAAGGATAAAAATGCTTGTGGTATTGGATTAGGGTCCTTTCTTGTGAAGTTTTAACCAAAATCCCTTGTTATTTTGTTGGTTTCCTCTCAGAATCGCACCAACTTTTCAGTTCCATTTGAGTTTTCAAGCAACTGTAAGGATACAGGGGAGCTCTAATTTGGGAGGATTTTGGTAACAGCCACGGATGGCATGGCCTGGATCTTGCCCCAGCAGATTTGAAACAATGGCTTTTAGTCTCTCAACAAAAGTAAGGCATTGCTGTTAGTGTTTCAAGTGATTTTTCCACTTTCTAGAGCAGAAGTGTGATCAGTCATGACATAGTGCATGCATAGTACGTTCTTTTCCTTATGTGTCTTAAAAATATTACAGAAAAACTTGGGAAAATGGAAAAATATAATGGACTCCTCTAGGCCTCCCACTCAGCTACAGTTACCAACTCAATCCTCCTCTTTCCACACCCCCCATCCTCCCCAGAACCTCTGTATGTTACCCCTAGTTCATGTAAGCCTTTGGTATATATATTGCCAATCGCTGAGAAATTAAGTGCCTCCAACAGGATATAAAATACGTTACTTGAGAGGGTTAACATTTTATGTATTTTACATTCTTAAGCTATTCAGAAGAAACTTAAAAAATATATACACTTTTTATTGATTTCTTCTCTCCATCCTCAGAGTGAAACCTTCTCTTTGATTCTGAAATGTTTTGTACCCTAATTAGATTACATCCAGAGGCTGACGTTGGAAACACTTCAGATGGATAAGCTCTGCGGCATACTTTGGAGATGTCAGAATCTGAGGATCCATGATTGATGTCCTGTGCATCTCCCTCTAAGCTGTCGGTGTATTTGCATGTACATGCTTTAGTCCTGATGGACATCCTTTATGGCCTTCTTAGAAAAATACAAAAGTAATATTTGTAAGTCAGCTATTGTACCTTACTCTGAGGGGTGGGGTGAGAAATCGTGCAGTCTTTCCCCCACATTCCCCCTTCAAGTGTCTTATTTGAAAATGAAGAATCTTTATCCAGTCTTGAAACTGGTTCCTCTGACACAGTTATGGAATGAAATCTTCAATGTTTCCTTCTAAATAATGTTCACATTACAGAGCTGATGAAGGTAGCATATTAATACAAATTTGCATAACGGGACTTTTGGAAATAGGGGAAGTTGCTGTTGCTGGTGGCAGAAAGGTTATAGGAAAGGTTGGCTGAAATGAGAAAAAGAACTAGCCAACGATTGAAGCTCTGAGCATCTCCCCTTAATTATGGACCTGTTTTCACTGAATAAAAGATTATGTTGTTTATATGAAGTAGTACAGGGAATGCTGATGATTTTATGCAGCAAAACAAAACCCTTTTCAGATTCATCCTTCTTTTCTGAGAAACTCCCAAGTTAATGTAGTATAATCAGGTGTCTATCAGTGCACCAACTGGAATGAGCTTTCTTGCCATTCAGGTAAGATCATTTCAGATGCCCCAGAGCAATTGTTATTAAGGGCCCCCTCCTACATCCTTACCCACTCCCCCATTTTTCTGGAAACTTCTTGACCAAAAGGACAGTCTGGACACTTTCATTAGCCTTACCTAGATGAAGAAAGCAAATTAAATGTTGCTAATGCTTTGTTGCTTGAGCTCTTCCCTTTTATGCTGAAAGGTTTTTATTACTTTTTTAAATCTGAGTTTCTGTTGAGCATTTTACAGAGAGCGTGCAGCACAGTGCAATGTCATTTCTAAGCAGGATGAAAATTATACTGGGGATGTGCGTTCTGAATTGCAAGAGTGAAAAATTTGTGATTAACACTTTCATCCTGTGGCACATCTATCGTGTCACATTTAAGAATTCAGAGCTTATGGGAGAAATTCAGGACATCTAAAGTTATCTCCAAAGTGCTTGATGTCCCCCCAAATAAATCCTCGGTATGCTTTTGTTACAAGTTGACCAAAGGTGGTAGGTGACAGGTGGTAATCACTGAAATGGCATTTTTGGCTGTATCTGTGTAGGGAATAAAAGCTCCGTGTATCTAACAATATAAAGGAAGCCAGGGAAGTGTGCCCTGCTTCCACTTGTATTTCTCCACCGGAGTCTGATCTAGGCAAAGCTGGTGGCTCTGCGGGACTCTGGAAAGCGAGAAACGGTCTTCTGAGAAGAGCCTGCCCCCAGCAGGCACAGAGAGCTTTTGTGGAATTCGGCAGCAGTCACTGAATTTGTTCTGGGGATGAGGTTGCCTGGGCCTGAGCACACATTAGGCCCTTAGTAAATATTTGCAAATGATTAAAAGATCTGATATCTGGATTTCCCTGTCTGAGAAATGGGAGTGACCAGCTTGTTTGCTAAGAACCAAACCCAGGACAATGGCAGTGTTCTGTGCACGTAAAGATCAAATGCACGTCTGTAAGAAAAGAGCCATCTGATTTGACTTTTTTTTTTGGA